AAACCAAAATTTCTTTTCCCAAATCACAAAAATGAAAAAAATACATAAAATTTGTGTTGTTCCTCTAAAAAAAATGGAAAAAAAAGTGAATATTAACGGTTCAAAAAAAGGCCGTGTTTGAATTCTTCTTTACAAACTCCAACTTTCACTATATAAACTGAAAAATTTTTTGGATTTTGCTTTCCTTTGAAATTTTCATGAATATTTGGTTGTAGCCACTGTTTTGAAACGCTGTACATCTTGTTGCATGAGTCCCCCAACCTGCCCCTGTGATCAGGTTTTTCCACCCCAGGATGATTGGACCCAATTCCACATTTTTCTCGATTTCTTTTTTTTTGGCCTCAGAAACGGCATTTTTGATGTACCCCACAATTTTCTATTGGATAAGATGGGGGATTGGCTGGCCACTCCTAACGCCATCTTTTTGGTCTGGGAACAAGATTTGCACTTTACGGTGTTTTGGGGTCTTTTGTCTTGTTGGAACCCCCTTTTAAAGGGGCATTTCCTCTTCAGCAAAAAACAGCTGCCCTCTTCAAAGTATTCGATGGATTCAAACTGATCCATGATCCGGCTGTATGTCGATAATAGGCCCAACACCGTAGTATGAGAAACATCCCCTATCATGATGCCTGTGCAACCAACCATGCTTCACGGTCTTCACAGTGTACTGTGGCTTGAATCAGTGTTTTGGGGGTCCGTCTGAAAAACTGTCGTGCCGCCCACTAGACCCAAAAAGAAACAATCTTACTTTCATCAGTCCACAAATGTTGCCTGCGACCATTTTCTCTTTATGCCGGATCAATGTGCTCTTGGCAGATTGTAACCTCGTTCAGCACACGTCTTTTTTCCCAACAGTGTGACTTTGCGGGTACTTCTTCGCAGATAGCGTGGCTTCACATCGCGTCTTCTAATTGAAACATTCCTCACAGTGGAACGTCCACACCTACTTTCATCTCCTGGAGCTGAATTGTTTGCTGGAGTCCTCACAGGGAACTCACACCTTCTTTCATCTTCCTGGAGCTGATATGTTGGCTGAGTCCGCGCCATGTTGGCTATTCTACTCTATCCATTCCAATGTAAGTAGTTTTTCGCTTTCCCCCCCCCCCCCCCTTCCGCGTCTTTTCAGGTTTTGTTGCCATTTTAAAGCATTTGCCATCATTTTAGCTGAGTCAGGGTCGATCATTTTCTGCACTTCTTTTATATGTTTTCCTCTCGTCCAATCAACTTTTTTTAATCAAGGAACCTGTTCTTCTGAACAATGTCTGGAAACGACCATTTTCCCAGAGAATTTCAGAGAGAAATGCACTGTAACCAGCATGTCCCAAACATTTTGCGCTTCCTTTCCTTCCTTAAATAATGGCAATAATTTGCCACCTGTTTTATCAAAGAATGAATGACTCACTAATAGAACTCCACACGCTATTATTGTGAACACGCCCGCTTTCAATGAGTGATTCCTATGACACAGAATCAGCAGCATAGCGTGTCATGACTGTCGGGTCTGTAGGATTTCTATGACTCTACTACACCTGATAGGACATTATTTGCAATGTAAAATATCGTTTCCCACCAAAATACAGCGATTGATCCGGTTAGTGATGTCTGACGGATAGTATTTTCAACACAACTGTATGTATATATATATTTATTATTATTATACAGTATTTATATAGCGCAGAAGTTTGCTCAGCGCTGTACATTATAGTGGGGACAGAACATGAGACAAGACAGTAACAATACAATACATGAGGGGTTCGAGGGCCCTGATCCTGGGAGCTTACAATCTAGGAGGAGGGGGTAGAGGTACAGGAGGAAGTGGCTGTGGGGGATGGAGTGGTGGGAGGAGTGGAGGGGATCGGCTGTTAGGTGAGGGTGGGGTAGGCTTCCCTGAAGAGGTGGGCTTTCAGGGTGCGCCTAAAGGTGAGGAGGGTAGGTGACAGTCTGATGGATTGGGGTAGTGAGTTTCAGAGGATGGGAGAAGTCCTGGAGAAGTCCTGCAGGCAAGCGTGGGAGGAGGAGACCAGAGAGCTAGAGAGTAGGAGGTCTTGTGAGGAGCGAAGAGTACGGGTTGGGTGGGATTTGGGTATCAGGTCGGTGATGCAGTTTGGGGGCGGCGTGTGAATGGCTTTGTAAGGTCAGAGTTAGTAGTTTGAATTTAATGCGTTGGGCAATCGAGAGCCAGTGGAGGGATTGGCAGAGGGGGGGGGTGGAGGACACTGAGTGGAGGCCAGTGGAGGGATTGGAAGAGGGGGGTGGAGGACACTGAGTGGAGGCCAGTGGAGGGATTGGCAGAGGGGGGTGGAGGTCAGTGCAGGGATTGGCAGAAAGGGGTGGAGGCCAGTAGAGGGATTGGCAGAGGGGGTGGAGGACACTGAGTGGAGGCCAGTGGAGGGATTGGCAGAGGGGGTGGAGGACACTGAATGGAGGCCAGTGGAGGGATTGGCAGAGGAGGTGGAGGACACTGAGTGGAGGCCAGTGGAGGGAATGACAGAGGGGGGTGGAGGACACTGAATGGAGGCCAGAAAGAGGGATTGGCAGGGGGGGGGGTGGAGGACACTGAATGGAGGCCAGTGGAGGGAATGACAGAGGGGGGTGGAGGACACTGAGTGGAGGCCAGTGGAGGGGTTGGCAGAGGGGGGTGGAGGATACTGAGTGGAGGCCAGTGGAGGGATTGGCAGAGAGGGGTGGAGGTCAGTGGAGGGATTGGCAGAGGGGGGTGGAGGACACTGAGTGGAGGCCAGTGGAGGGAATGACAGAGGGGGGTGGAGGACACTGAGTGGAAGCCAGTGGAGGGAATGACAGAGGGGGGTGGAGGACACTGAATGGAGGCCAGTGGAGGGATTGCCAGGGGGGGGTGGAGGTCAGTGCAGGGATTGGCAGAAAAAGGGGGGTGGAGGCCAGTAAGGGATTGGCAGAGGGGTGGAGGACACTGAGTGGAGGCCAGTGGAGGGATTGAGGCAGAGGGGGGGTGGAGGACACTGAATGGAGGCCAGTGGGTGAGGGATTGGCAGAGGGAGGTGGAGGACACTGAGTGGAGGCCAGTGGAGGGAATGACAGAGGGGGGGTGGAGGACACTGAATGGAGGCCAGTGGAGAGGATTGGCAGGGGGGGGGGGGGGTGAGGACACTGAATAAAGGCCAGTGGAGGGAATGACAGAGGGGGGTGGAGGACACTGAGTGGAGGCCAGTGGAGGGGTTGGCAGAGGGGGGTGGAGGATACTGAGTGGAGGCCAGTGGAGGGGTTGGCAGAGAGGGGGTGAGGTCAGTGGAGGATTGGCAGAGGGGGGTGGAGGACACTGAGTGGAGGCCAGTGGAGGGAATGACAGAGGGGGGTGGAGGACACTGAGTGGAGGCCAGTGGAGGGATTGGCAGAGGGGGGTGGAGGTCAGTGGAGGGATTGGCAGAGAGGGGTGGAGGACACTGAGTGGAGGCCAGTGGAGGGAATGACAGAGAGGGGTGGAGGTCAGTGGAGGGATTGGCAGAGAGGGGTGGAGGCCAGTGGAGGGAATGACAGAGGGGGGTGGAGGTCAGTGGAGGGATTGGCAGAGGGGGGTGGAGGACACTGAGTGTGGAGGCCAGTGGAGGAATGACAGAGAGGGGTGAGAGGTCAGTGGAGGGATTGGCAGAGAGGGGTGGAGGCCAGTGGAGGGAATGACAGAGGGGGGTGGCAGATACGGAGCGTTTGGTGAGGTGGATGAGTCTGGCCGCTGAGTTCAGGATGGACTGAAGCGGGGATAGCCTGTGTTGGGGGAGGCCGGTGAGAGATGAACGAGTGGTTTAGTAGTGTCCGGGGTATATAGATTATATTTATTTTGAAATATATTGAATGCGGCCCAAATTGTAGCATTTCAAATATATGTCAATATATTTGGGAAGAATATTTTTCTATATATATTTTCCTTCCATGTATCTGTCTCTGCTGATTGTACCAGTAAAGCCGCGGCGTTTGGGGCGCGGTCAGTTCCCTGCATAGTGCGGTTGGAGGATATAGAAAAGGTGGTGGGAGGGTTTCTCCAGGTCAAAGTTTTCCAGAATGGAGGACAATAGATGGGACTTTGGCGCAGAATGTTTCATTGTTCGCAGTACCACCCCCCTTCATAACACATCTTCGATAAAATAAGCCCTTCACATGCTGAAACGTTGGTGGAAATCGTCCAATTCCCCGGTAAAAGCTGCCGTGGTATGGAGGACGTAGACAGATGCCACGTCTAGCTCCACCAAGAAGAACGCTTTGGACAGAAGGCCATTAAAACTGCCTAAAATGAACAATTTTCCTTTTATTGACAGACGTTCTCATTAGAGAGAATCCCGGAAATTCAGAAAATCCCATAAAAAATCACATTATTAAAAAAGGAATCCAAAATCCCCGTCATTTGGAGACAGGAAGGGATGTGAAACGGCTAAAATTCCTCCAATGTTCTTATGAAAAATGTAAATATCACGTTGATGGGAGATGACAATTATCCCGCCGGAGGGGGGGGGAGGGGAGGGGGGATCCAGGAAAAGGTTTATCGTTCTTCTGGGATTACAAAGATTTTGTTGTTATAAGAATGGAATTTATATGAATTAATTGCCGCGGCGATACTTTGTGGCGGATTGTAAGTTGAAATATATTCCGAATTTACCGGTTCCGTATGAGACGCGGCGAGAATTTCTTCCACATAAATATTTATAATTTCATCAGTGAAGAGGAAGAGGAAGACGTATGGAAAGTCACGAGACTCGGAGAAATAATATGTCAGGAGTGATGGAAAGGTCTCCGACGTCCGTGGTTTGTACTAATTGGGAAATGAAAAACGTGACTTTGTGTGTGAATGGTAACCGAGCTTCACCGTCACGGACAACGTCTCCTCAATCACTGTCCACGGATGGATTTCCACCAATGTAAGGGACATTCTTCCCACCGACCCCCCCAATGTAAGGGACATTCTTCCCACCGACCCCCAATGTAAGGGACATTCTTCCCACCGACGCCCCCCCAATGTAAGGGACATTCTTCCCACCGACCCCCAATGTAAGGGACATTCTTCCCACTGACCCCCCAATGTAAGGGACATTCTTCCCACTGACCCCCCAATGTAAGGGACATTCTTCCCACCGACCCCCCCAATGTAAGGGACATTCTTCCCACCAACCCCCAATGTAAGGGACATTCTTCCCACCGACCCCCCCAATGTAAGGGACATTCTTCCCACCGACCCCCCCAATGTAAGGGACATTCTTCCCACTGATCAATGTAAGGGACGTTCTTCCCACCGACCCCCAATGTAAGGGACATTCTTCCCACTGACCCCCAATGTAAGGGACAGTCTTCCCACTGACCCCCAATGTAAGGGACATTCTTCCCACTGACCCCCCCCAATGTAAGGGACATTCTTCCCACTGACCCCAATGTAAGGGACATTCTTCCCACCGACCCCCCCATGTAAGGGACATTCTTCCCACTGATCACCAATGTAAGGGACATTCTTCCCACTGACCCCCAATGTAAGGGACATTCTTCCCACTGACCACCAATGTAAGGGACATTCTTCCCACTGACCACCAATGTAAGGGACATTCTCCCCACTGACCCCCAATGTAAGGGACATTCTTCCCACTGACCCCCAATGTAAGGGACTTCTCCCCACTGACCCCCAATGTAAGGGACATTCTCCCCACTGACCCCCAATGTAAGGGACATTCTTCCCACTGACCCCCAATGTAAGGGACATTCTTCCCACTGACCCCCAATGTAAGGGACATTCTTCCCACTGACCACCAATGTAAGGGACATTCTTCCCACTGACCCCCAATGTAAGGGACATTCTTCCCACTGACCCCCAATGTAAGGGGACATTCTTCCCACTGACCCCCAATGTAAGGGACATTCTTCCCACTGACCCCCAATGTAAGGGACGTTCTTCCCACTGATCCCCAATGTAAGGGACATTCTTCCCACTGACCCCCAATGTAAGGGACATTCTTCCCACTGACCCCCAATGTAAGGGACATTCTTCCCACTGACCACCAATGTAAGGGACATTCTTCCCACTGACCCCCAATGTAAGGGACATTCTTCCCCACTGACCCCCAATGTAAGGGACATTCTTCCCACTGACCCCCAATGTAAGGGACATTCTTCCCACTGACCCCCAATGTAAGGGACATTCTTCCACACTGACCCCCAATGTAAGGACATTCTTCCCACTGACCCCCAATGTAAGGGACATTCTTCCCACTGACCCCCAATGTAAGGACATTCTTCCCACTGACCCCCAATGTAAGGGACATTCTTCCCACTGACCACCAATGTAAGGGACATTCTTCCCACTGACCCCCAATGTAAGGGACATTCTTCCCCACCGACCCCCAATGTAAGGGACATTCTTCCCACACGACCCCCAATGTAAGGAGACATTCTTCCACTGACCCCCAATGTAAGGGACATTCTTCCCACTGACCCCCAATGTAAGGGACATTCTTCCCACTGACCCCCAATGTAAGGACATTCTTCCCACTGACCCCCAATGTAAGAGGACATTCTTCCCACTGACCCCCAATGTAAGGGACATTCTTCCCACTGATCACCAATGTAAGGGACATTCTTCCCACTGACCCCCCCAATGTAAGGGACATTCTTCCCACTGACCCCCAATGTAAGGGACATTCTTCCCACTGACCACCAATGTAAGGGACATTCTTCCCACACTGACCCCCAATGTAAGGGACATTCTTCCCACTGACCCCCAATGTAAGGGACATTCTTCCCACTGACCCCCAATGTAAGGGACATTCTTCCCACTGACCCCCAATGTAAGGGACATTCTTCCCACTGACCCCCAATGTAAGGGACATTCTTCCCACTGACCCCCAATGTAAGGGACATTCTTCCCACTGACCCCCAATGTAAGGGACATTCTTTCCCACTGACCCCCCCAATGTAAGGGACATTCTTCCCACTGACCCCCAATGTAAGGGACATTCTTCCCACTGACCCCCAATGTAAGGGACATTCTTCCCACTGACCCCCCAATGTAAGGGACATTCTTCCCACTGACCCCCAATGTAAGGGACATTCTTCCCACTGACCACCAATGTAAGGGACATTCTTCCCACTGACCACCAATGTAAGGGACATTCTTCCCACTGACCACCCAATGTAAGGGACATTCTTCCCACTGACCCCCAAATGTAAGGGACATTCTTCCCACTGATCCCAATGTAAGGGACATTCTTCCCACTGACCCCCAATGTAAGGGACATTCTTCCCACTGACCCCCCAATGTAAGGGACATTCTTCCCACTGACCCCCAATGTAAGGGACATTCTTCCCACTGACCCCCCAATGTAAGGGACATTCTTCCCACTGACCCCCAATGTAAGGGACATTCTTCCCACTGACCACCCAATGTAAGGGACATTCTTCCCACTGTAAGGGACATTCTTCCCACCCCCCCAATGTAAGGGACATTCTTCCCACTGACCCCAATGTAAGGGACATTCTTCCCACTGACCCCCAATGTAAGGGACATTCTTCCCACTGACCCCCAATGTAAGGGACATTCTTCCCACTCCACCAATGTAAGGGACATTCTTCCCACTGACCCCCCCACTGACCCCCAATGTAAGGGACATTCTTCCCACTGACCCCCAATGTAAGGGACATTCTTCCACTGACCCCCAATGTAAGGGACATTCTTCCCACTGACCCCCCAATGTAAGGGACATTCTTCCCACTGACCCCCCCCCAATGTAAGGGACATTCTTCCCACTGACCCCCAATGTAAGGGACATTCTTCCCACTGACCCCCAATGTAAGGGACATTCTTCCCACTGACCCCCCAATGTAAGGGACATTCTTCCCACTGACCCCCAATGTAAGGGACATTCTTCCCCACTGACATTCTCTTCCCCCCCCCAATGTAAGGGACATTCTTCCACTGACCCCCAATGTAAGGGACATTCTTTCCCACTGAAGGGACATTCTTCCCACTGACCCAATGTAAGGGACATTCTTCCCACACACATTCTTCCCCTGACCCCCCCAATGTAAGGGACATTCTTCCACACTGACCCCCCAATGTAAGGGACATTCTTCCCACTGACCCCCAATGTAAGGGACATTCTTCCCACTGAAAGGGACCCACCAATGTAAATGGGACATTCTTCCCACTGACCCCCTTCCCTGTAAGGGACATTCTTCCCACTGACCCCCCAATGTAAGGGACATTTTCCCACTGACCCCCCAATGTAAGGGACATTCTTCTTCCACTGACCCCAATGTAAGGGACATTCTTTAAGGACAATTCCCACATACCCAATGTGAGGGACATTCCCCACTGACCCCAATGTACATTCTTCCCACTGGTAAGGGACATTCTTCCCACTGACACCCCAATGTAAGGGACATTCTTCCCACTGACCACCAATGTAAGGGACCTTCCCACTGACCCCCCATGTAAGGGACATTCTTCCACTGATCACCATGTAAGACATTCTTCCCACTGACCCCAATGTAAGGGACATTCTTCCCACTGACCCCCCAATGTAAGGGACATTCTTCCCACTGATTCCCCAAATGTAAGGGACATTCTTCCCACTGACCCCCCAATGTAAGGGACATTCTTCCACTGACCCAAGGGACATTCTGACCCCCAATGTAAGGGACATTCTTCCCACTGACCCCACTGAAGGGACATTCTTCCCACTGACCCAATGTAAGGGACATTCTTCCCTGACACTGACCCCCACTGACCCAATGTAAGGGACATTCTTCCCACTGACCCCCCAATGTAAGGGACATTCTTCCCACTGACCCCAATGTAAGGGACCCTTCCACTGACCCCAATGTAAGGGACATTCTTCCCACTGACCACCAATGTAAGGGACATTCTTCCCACTGACCCCCCAATGTAAGGGACATTCTTCCCCACTGACCCCCCAATGTAAGGGACATTCTTCCCACTGACCCCCCAATGTAAGGGACATTCTTCCCACTGACCCACAATTCATTCTTCCCACTGACCCCCCAATGTAAGGGACATTCTTCCCACTGACCCCCCCAATGTAAGGGACATTCTTCCCACTGACCCCCAATGTAAGGGACATTCTTCCCACTGACCCCCCAATGTAAGGACATTCTTCCCACTGACCCCCAATGTAAGGGACATTCTTCCCACTGACCCCAATGTAAGGGACATTCTTCCCACTGACCCCCAATGTAAGGGACATTCTTCCCACCCCCAAAGTAAGGGACTGACTGACCCCCCAATGTAAGGGACATTCTTCCCACTGATCACCAATGTAAGGGACATTCTTCCCACTGACCCCCCGAATGTAAGGGACATTCTTCCCACTGACACCCAATGTAAGGGACATTCTTCCCACTGACCCCCCAATGTAAGGGACATTCTTCCCACCAAATAAGTAAACAATGTAAGGACATTCTTCCCACTGACCCCAATGTAAGGGACATTCTTCCCACTGACCACCAATGTAAGGGACATTCTCTTCCCCCGACCCCCAATGTAAGGGACATTCTTCCCACCGACCCCCAATGTAAGGGACGTTCTTCCCACTGACCCCCAATGTAAGGGACGTTCTTCCCACTGACCCCCCAATGTAAGGGACATTCTTCCCACTGACCCCCCAATGTAAGGGACATTCTTCCCACTGACTGACCCCCCATGTAAGGGACATTCTTCCCCCTGACCCCCCATGTAAGGGACATTCTTCCCACTGACCCCCAATGTAAGGGACATTCTTCCCACTGACCCCCCAATGTAAGGGACATTCTTCCCACTGACCACCAATGTAAGGGACATTCTTCCCACTGACCCCCCAATGTAAGGGACATTCTTCCCACTGACCCCCCAATGTAAGGGACATTCTTCCCACTGATCACCAATGTAAGGGACATTCTTCCAACTTCCCACTGACCCCCCAATGTAAGGGACATTCTTCCCACTGACCCCCAATGTAAGGGACATTCTTCCCACTGACCCCCCAATGTAAGGGACATTCTTCCCACTGACCCCCATGTAAGGGACATTCTTCCCTTCCCACTGACCCCCCATGTAAGGGACATTCTTCCCACTGACCCCCAATGTAAGGGACATTCTTCCCACTGACCCCCCAATGTAAGGGACATTCTTCCCACTGACCACCAATGTAAGGGACATTCTTCCCACTGACCCCCCCAATGTAAGGGACATTCTTCCCACTGACCCCCCAATGTAAGGGACATTCTTCCCACTGATCACCAATGTAAGGGGACATTCTTCCCACTGACCCCCCAATGTAAGGGACATTCTTCCCACTGACCCCAATGTAAGGGACATTCTTCCCACTGACCCCCCAATGTAAGGGACATTCTTTCCCATCAGTAGTAGGGAGGATTGCACTGATGGGGATAATGTACGACAGATGTGAGGGAATTCTCCCCGTTTTCTATACTTTATGGTTATTACTATAATTTGTTGTAATTATTATTATTGTTGAAAATCAGGACGTCATATAGAGTAGCTCTGGGGGTCATATGTACCGTGTGTATGGAAGGAAAGAAGGAATTGAGGGAGGATGGGAGAGAAGGAAGATTGGAAAGAATTTGAGGGAGGATGGGAAGGAAGGAAAGAATTGAGGTAGGATGGGAAGGAAGGATGGATGGATGGATGGAAGGAAGGAAAGAATTGAGGGAGGATGGGAAGGAAGGAAAGAATTGAGGTAGGATGGGAAGGAAGGATGGATGGATGGATGGAAGGAAGGAAAGAATTGAGGGAGGATGGGAAGGAAGGATGGAAGGAAGGAATGAATTGAGGGAGGATGGGAAGGAAGGATGGAAGGAAGGAACAAATTGAGGGAGGATGGGAAGGATGGAAAGAATTGAGGGAGGATGGGAAGGAAGGAAGGATGGATGGATGGATGGAAGGAAGGAAGGAAAGAATTGAGGGAGGATGGGAAGGAAGGAAGGAAGGAATGAATTGAGGGAGGATGGGAAGGAAGGATGGAAGGAAGGAACAAATTGAGGGAGGATGGGAAGGATGGAAAGAATTGAGGGAGGATGGGAAGGAAGGAAGGATGGATGGATGGATGGAAGGAAGGAAGGAAAGAATTGAGGGAGGATGGGAAGGAAGGATGGAAGGAAGGAATGAATTGAGGGAGGATGGGAAGGAAAGGAAGGATGGAAGGAATGAATTGAGGGAGGATGGGAAGGAAGGAAGGAATTGAGGGAGGATGGGAAGGATGGAAGGAAGGAAGGAATTGAGGGAGGATGGGAAGGATGGAAAGAATTGAGGGAGGATGGGAAGGAAGGAAGGATGGAAGGAAGGAAGGAATTGAGGGAGGATGGGAAGAAAGGAAGGATGGAAGGAAGGAAGGAATTGAGGGAGGATGGGAAGGATGGAAGGAAGGAAGGAATTGAGGGAGGATGGGAAGGAAGGAAGGATGGAAGGAAGGAAGGAATTGAGGGAGGATGGGAAGGATGGATGGAAGGAAGGAAGGAAGGAATTGAGGGAGGATGGGAAGGATGGAAGGAAGGAAGGAATTGAGGGAGGATGGGAAGGATGGAAGGAAGGAAGGAATTGAGGGAGGATGGGAAGGAAGGAAGGATGGAAGGAAGGAAGGAATTGAGGGAGGATGGGAAGGATGGAAGGAAGGAAGGAATTGAGGGAGGATGGGAAGGAAGGAAGGATGGAAGGAAGGAAGGAATTGAGGGAGGATGGGAAGGATGGATGGAAGGAAGGAAGGAAGGAATCCTGTGCACTGTTCAGCACGCTCAGCCCTGTGAAATGCCATTTCCTTGCAGTGAATATTCCTCATTGAAGGACGATGGATTCCTCCGATCTCGGGGAGCCAAGCAATGAATATTTGGGCCCCGGGCCCCCTCATTGCCTATTCAGGGAAGACGTCAGAAGTCAGCTTTGCTCAGCACTGAACAAGGTTGTAGAATATTATTTCCGGATCCTATAAACATTTCTCAGCCGGATGATGACTAGGAATTCGCTCGCAGCGTCAGGTCGATCGGTAGCGGTGATTAAATCCAGAAAATATCTTCCAGAATAAATGTTCTCCCCGAATGTTTTCTGACTTTCACAATAACATTTATTGCCGCCCGTCTTTCAGAGAATTCGAATGCATCTCCTGCGTCATGGCAGAATGTTCCACAGCCGTGAAGCCGGTGGGGGGGGGGGGGGGCAGGCCGGGCTCCGGTGATCTCCAAACCTGATGACAGAATCCATTGTTTTTGACAGAAATGTCATTTTGGCTCAGAGAGGAGGGCAGGAGGGCTGAGTACAGACACGAGGCAAGAGTCAGAGATCTCTCAGAGGCGTCCAGGAGGCCCCACAACCAGACCTCTGTATCCACCTGACCCCTGGACAGGCTTTACCCCCCCTTCATGGCCAGGACATTTATTTGCTATTCAGCACTGCACTACTTTAACTGGTAATTGCACAGTCATGCAACACTGCATCCAATGACATTTATATAATTTTTTTCACACAAATAGAGCTTTCTATTGTTGGTATTTGATCACCACTGGGGGGTTTTTTATTTTTTTATTATATGAACGAAAAAAACAAACATAAAAATAATAATAGGTTTTATAGCAGAAAGTATAAAATATTATCTGTGGATCTGACGTCCGCTGACTACATAAGAACGATGGTGTCAGAAGTTTGTTTCTTCGCAGGAAATATTATTTGACTCTTTACATCTCCAGCCCGTAACTTCAGCTCAGATACGCCGGGAGATGATTTCACGGTTTTTCTTTTTTCTGCTCTGCTGTGAGAATCGGCATCATAAAAAGAAAAAATAGGATTGTCAGCAAAAGAATAGCGGGAAAGGAGCCGGCACCGACCTACCATTGTATGAAGACGACTATAAACGCTTCGGATACAATGTTACAAAACAATCAATCATTAAATACACAATGTATGTCCCGGACGGCGTGATTCGGCTGAACGGAGCCCTGTCTCAGGCAGCCAGAGATTGGTGTGGGGAGGGGGCTGGGGAGCAAACGGTTGTCAGCTGGAGGCAAGTAGCAGAGGCAGGACGATTTACTGGGGTACCTGGGATCCACCCGGTGGAAACCATGTGGGCTCCATTCTTCAGGGGACCTGCTAAGGCAAGGGCTACCGGCCCTGATCCTCCAGGGTGTGAGACCCTCCACGGGAACTGGGGTATCTGGTCCACCTGGTGGAAACCATGTGGGCTCCATTCTTCAGGGGACCTGCTAAGGCAAGGGCTACCAGCCCTGATCCTCCAGGGTGTGAGACCCCCGACGGGAACTGGGGTACCTGTGGTCCACCCCAGTGGAAACCATGTGGGCTCCATTCTTCAGGGGAGCTGCTAAGGCAAGGGCTACCAGCCCTGATCCTCCAGGGTGTGAGACCCTCCACGGGAACTGGGGTATCTGGTCCACCTGGTGGAAACCATGTGGGTTCCATTCTTCAGGGGACCTGCTAAGGCAAGGGCTACCAGCCCTGATCCTCCAGGGTGTGAGACCCCCGACGGGAACTGGGGTACCTGTGGTCCACCCAGTGGACACCATGTGGGCTCCATTCTTCAGGGGACCTGCTAAGGCAAGGGTTACCGGCCCTGATCCTCCAGGGTGTGAGACCCCCGACGGGAACTGGGGTACCTGTGGTCCACCCAGTGGAAACCATGTGGGCTCCATTCTTCAGGGGAGCTGCTAAGGCAAGGGCTACCGGCCCTGATCCTCCAGGGTGTGAGACCCCCGACGGGAACTGGGGTACCTGTGGTCCACCCAGTGGAAACCATGTGGGCTCCATTCTTCAGGGGACCTGCTAAGGCAAGGGCTACCAGCCCTGATCCTCCAGGGTGTGAGACCCCCGACGGGAACTGGGGTACCTGTGGTCCACCCAGTGGAAACCATGTGGGCTCCATTCTTCAGGGGAGCTGCTAAGGCAAGGGCTACCGGCCCTGATCCTCCAGGGTGTGAGACCCCCAATGGGAACTGGGGTACCTGTGGTCCACCCGGTGGAAACCATGTGGGCTCCATTCTTCAGGGGACCTGTTAAGGCAACGGCTAACAGCCCTGATCCTCCAGGGTGTGAGACCCTTGACGGGAACTGGGGTACCTGTGGTCCACCCGGTGGAAACCATGTGGGCTCTATTCTTCAGGGGACCTGCTAAGGCAAGCGCTACCAGCCCTGATCCTCCAGGGTGTGAAACCCCGACAGGAACTGGGGTACCTGTGGTCCACCCAGTGGAAACCATGTGGGCTCCATTCTTTAGGGGACCTGCTAAGGCAAGGGCTACCCAGGTACTAGTCGGAGATCCCACTGACCATAAGGACACAGCCCCCCCCCCCCCAGGATCGGGACAAGGGGTGGTCAGGAGGGGCACTGTGGGTATCATGTGAGGTGAGGGGGGTGCTGCAAGGAGATTGGGGGAGGAATTTAGAAAACGGCAAGGGGGAAATATTTTTCTAGGAGGGGAAATTTTGGAAGAGTGATGGGAGTGAGAGGGGGATCTGTGTTGAGAGGAGGGGGGGGGGGAGAGGATTTGTGCTAGGACGGGACATTTTAGAGGGGAGGGAATCAGTATTAGTAGGGATGATTAGGGGGTATTTGTGCTAGGAGGGGAAAATTGTGGGGGGGGATTTGTGCTGGGGGGTGCTTTGGAGTGGGGGGGGGATTTAGGGGATGGCAGGGGGTAAGAATTGTTCTAGGATGGGAAATTCGGGAAGGGGTGATAGGACTTGGGGGGATCTGTGTTGGGAGGGGGAATATGGGGAGAGGATATGTGCTAGGAGGAGGGTTTAGGGGCTTTGTGCTAGGATAGGTCATATGGTAGAGGGGGGGAGGGGATTTGTGTGAGTAGGGATCATTGGGAGGTATTTGTACTAAGAGGGGAAACGGGGGGATTTGTGCTGGGAGGGGGGCTTTGGAGTGGGAGTAGTTTAGGGGATTGAAGGGGGTAAGAATTGTTCTGGAATGGAAAATTTGGGAAGGGGTGCTAGGAGTGGTGATTTGGGGGGATCTGTGTTGGTAGGGGGATGGGGAAGAGGGTTCGTGCTAGGAGGAGGATTTAGGGGGGGGGGGGGTTATGCTAGAAGAGGTAGAGTGGGGAGTGGATTTGTGCTTAGAAGGGAAATTTTAGAGGAGAGGGAATATTTGATAGTAGGGATGATTGGGGGATATTTGTGCTAGGAGGTGAAATTGGGGGGGCTTTGGAGTGGGGGAGGGTTGTCTTAGGAGGTGGAATTTGGTGGATGGCAAAGGGTAAGAATTGTTCTAGTAGGGGAAATTTGGGAAGGGGTGTTAGGAGTGGTGACTTGGGGGGATATGTGTTGGGAGGGGAGAAGGGGAAGAGGATATGTGCGAGCTTGTTCAGTTAAACTTTGGCAATAAAACCTCAT